ATATTGATTCAGTGTAGTAATTTACCTAAGGCAGAACTGTATGTGGTATGGAGTCATTTGCTAAACATGAAACCTGTTTGCTGTGGTAATAGGTCTGGTGATCTGAGGAGCCATTCCTTTTGGCCTTTTGAGCTATTTCCTTTTGTCATATTACAAAATAAATTTGTGCTCTGCAGTTTATTAAAAAAAAAAAAAAAAGAAAACAAAAAAAGAATATTGATGAGAGTTATACAGGACCCTGTCCTGTGCTTTCATTTGTGAAGCAATACTAATGTCTAACCATTCTTTAAATTATGAAACCATCCTCTGGGCAGGATTTTTCCTATTTCCACTTATTTCCAGTTAGCTGCTTCACAGGGATATCTGTTTTAAATAGGTTGCCAAAACTTTCCTTGTGGTTGCTGTAACTGTCTGCTACACTAATTTACAGTCTCACTGTTAATGGGTCTACCTGGAAATAGAACAGTATAATTGTTTTGCTCCATATTTAGCTGCGAACCAGATGTTGTCAGGCTTCTGAATTAAATCCACCGGTTTATTTACTTTTGTGATAGGTGCATCTTTGAACACTTTAATTACTTGAACTATTTGAGTTAAATAAAAGCTTAAAAACACAGGTAGAAAGTGGGAATGTAGTAAACTGGAAATTGATCAATTCATAGTTGAATACTATATGAACAGACTTCATTGAAAACATGTGCTATGCGGTGAAACACATGATTTATATAATTTTGAGGTCACCTCCTTATTTGGTCCCTGAATTGAACAATTTGCTCAAGGCAGGCAGCCTCCCCTTGTGTAGGAAAGCAGGTTGCTTTCCACTACTGCTCCAGCTGGGTATGTTTGGTATTTGTGTCAGCCTTCGACAGAGATGTCAGGTGACATCAGGTGTAGTGCAATAAAATATTGGCACTGGAAAATAACAGAGAAATCAGTTGATTCTAGAAGTTCTGAATCTAAGGTCCAAATATTTTCAGCTGTATTTAGGGGCTTTGTAAAGGTCACAGCCAGAAGGGAAAGGACTGTAAGAGCATGTCCAGAGGAGGACCAGAAAAATGATCCAAGGAATGGAACGTGTAGCCTATGAAGACAGGCTGAGAGCTGGGGCTGTTCACCCTGGAGAAGAGAAGGCTCTGGGGAGACACAAGAACAGCCTTCCAGTATCTAAAGGGGCTGTAAGAAAGAAGGGGACAGACTCTTTGCAGAGTCTATTGTGATAGGACTGGAGAAAATGAGTTCAATCTAAAAGAAGGGAGACTGTAATTGGATATAAGGAAAAACAGTTTTTTATGATGAGTAGTGAGGCACTGGCACTGCCCTGAGAAGTGGTGGATGCCCTATCCCTCCTTGAGAGGATACACTCAAGGTCAGGCTGGACCAGGCTCTGAGCACCTGATCAAGCTGTAGGTGTCCCTATTCATTGCAAGGGTTGGAGTAGGTGGCCTTAAGGGTTCCTTTGAGCTCCAATGAGTCTGTCATTCTATAAAATGCAGCCACCTGCAATCAGCAGACATGATTGCCACCCTGTGCTGGCAGTGGTGGCTTCCAGCATGTTTCCCATCCCAATCTGGTGAGGCAACAAGATGTGTGTTGGCAGGATGGACTGGCCTCACCCCTGCATTATCTTCTTGCTGGCAGGATAAAACACATGCTCAAAGCGTGAGTGTGAACTAGTGTTAAATAGAATTTCTAGAGAACTGTTTAAAGAATTTCTAATGAAAATATTGAACTTCACTGAAAGTGTGATTATTTAACTTTTCTGAATGTGTGGTTATTAGTATAATTACAGATCTGACCCTGCATCCTGATTGCTCTGTGAGGTTTTTATTGAAATATTTCCCTAAAGTTCTTGTATGGATTTCTCAGAATCACATAAAAGGTAGGAGAGAACTAGCTGTGTTGTGAGAGAACGAAAAGTAAAAGCAGACTGAACTTGTAAAATGAAGATTCAGTTTGTAAGCCTGAAATCCATTGAGCTCACCCAGCATGCAGACCTTATCCAAGGTCTGCCAGCTCAGCGCACCACAGCACTGTCATAATCGATCAAACCTGCCAGATAAAGAGAGGCTATTTTAAAATTTCTCCTTCAGGGCACGGGAAAGTACTGCTCACACGAAGATAGAAATTTATGATGATGCTAAAAAAGATGCAGATGAAGTGAATAATTAATGAATTCAAGACAGGACTGAAATATCCTTCTAAATTGTTGCTATTTTTAGTAAGGAGCGCTTCTGCAGTGCTTGTCATGTGATCCTATTGCCTTCTGAGAGCAGGAAAACAATTTGCATTAGTTTCTCTTTCCCCAATGGTCTGACAGATTCAGCATATAGTATCTCTTAGCATCTGCTTTTGCATTAAAGCAAAGAAAGTGATTTTGAACATCATGCAAAATAAAACACTAATGAGAGCTGTGCTTAAAAATGATCTTTGTAGAAGCTGAATATTTTTTATAGTACTTAGAGGCTGTACAAGGGGCTACTGCAATGTGCCTAACATTTAGCTGCTGCAGATGTCCGGTGATACACATTGCTGCTGCAATTTCTAGCTGTCAGACTACATAGGAGGAAATTATCAATGGCTGATTGCAGGATTTGGCTCATATACAAAGATTTAATGTAAACAAGTACGTGTTTCTTTTCTTTCTCTAAACAGCATGGGTGTTGCTGTGTTTGAGCTATTTCACAGTATGGCAGGATGCCTGAGGTGGGCAGGGACCTCTGGAGGTCACCTGCTTCACCCCTGCTCCAGCAGAGACACCAGAGCAGGATGCCCAGGGCCATGGCCAGGCACCTTTGGAAGATCTCTAGGGAGGGGAACTCCAAAGACTCTCTACTTCACACAGTAAAAGTGTCATAGTCAGAAAATGACATAAATGATTATATGCAGCAGCTCTGCGGACCTGTTCACGTTTTTATGCACTATGCTCAGCTGAGCCTGCAGGGAGGGACATCTGGTGGTGGAACGGTTGGAGATGCTGTGAGGAATGGGGCTGCGGTCTTCTCTTCTGCTACAGCCAACTGAATTTATGCAGGGCCATTGCCTCTGCCATAGTGAATTTTCAAGTGTTTAATGTCCCCCTGCCTGGCCCTGGAGGGGATTCTCCTTCCTGAGAAGTGATGAGGTTCCCAACAGAGTCAGGAACTGCTTGCTTGCTGCCTTTCTAGACTAACAGACTAGTCACAGGTTAACTACAGGAAAAAAACCCCACAGAAAAAAGCCCCTCTAAATCCTAACCTTTTTGGCATTGAAGAAGATCTTGGATTTGCAGCCTTGTCCCCAGGTAGTAGGTGGAGTACTGACTGGTTGCTCTCCCATGTGGGTTGGTTCCTATGTGACTCCTGTGAAGTATGTAGGGCTCCCTGGATCCTAAAAGGACCCTGGTCTCCAGCCCCAGTGGGGTGCAGACCCCTCGTGGGGAGCAGGTGCTTGCCATGCAGTCAGCAAGATGAAGTGTCACCATGAGGACTCAGTGCTTTGGTGCCAGGGCCTCTCATGGATTGCTGGGACCACTCCACTCCCAGTCAAACCCTTTGGTCTCAAGGTGCATGCTAAGCCATCTTGGCTCTGTCAAGGAGAAGGCATTTCTGGGTATATCCTGAAACAGCAGAAAAACCTCTGGACTGCAGCATGTTGCTGTAGGAAAAGAGCTTGTGAGTCCTGAGACACAGAAGTGACCTTCAAAGTCTCCTTCAGCCCCAGGCCAAATTGCAACATAGTGGTGGTACAGTTTGTGAAGCTCCTGGGTTAAGCTGTGGATGGTGGTTTATTGGAAGGAACTGGAGTTTGAGATATGGCTCCTTGGTTGTGCTCAGGTTGTAGGTGTATGTGCCATAAAGGCTTTGCTGCACCTGGTCCTTGATCTCTGTTTTTCCATCTCTATGTATCTATCTGAAAGGGTCATTTAAAGTTTTAATTTCTCTAAGGCATATGCACACATGCTTTACATGTTTACATGCTTACAGAATCCGGTGCTGTATGAAGTTTTGTAATCAAGAAGAGGTGATCCTCAAGTAGAAGTTGAATTTGGTAGATGTGAGCGCTATTTGATTGAAAACTCTTGTAAAAATATTAAATTATCATTACTATATTTTGTACCAGCTGATAAGACTATTCCCAAGTTTATTCTTCCCAACTTTCCATCCGCTTCCCCATATTGGAGGCTAATACTTTTTTTCTAGTCTTCTTTCTCAGTCATTTGTGTAAGCACTTCCTAACTTATTCCAAATAAATCAGGTTATAAGCAGCTGTTTTTTAAGCCAACCTCATTCATTTAGAGCAAAAGAGTGTAGGTGATAGGCACTGACTCAATGAGAAAGTGAACTGGAAGGAGTGGGACTCTCTGACAAGGGAGATGGTGAATGGCTGATGCCTTTAGTGGATGTCTTCCATAGGATGGAAGACAAAAACAATGCTTATATAGTCTGGAAGCCTGTCTTCACCTAAATTCATCTCAGCACGTAGAGTTACTGCTCCTGTTTGAGGCTTTTGTGAATTGTGGTTCTGCGATAACAAACCAAATGATGGGTATTGAATTGCATCCTTTGTAATTAATGAGATGCACTGAGTACTCCTGGTGATAAAAAGATGTAGAGATTTTAAGATCTTGAATGATATCACCACTCTACAAACCTTTCATAATGTCTGTTCAAGCACTTGCACTCATGATCAAGCAATTGCTTATATAAGCCCAGTAATATTTTGTGAGCTGCCTCATAAATTAAAATCCTTGTTTCCATTTTCATTGGTGCTGACTTGATTTTGATAACAGTGCTTCTGGAGGATCTTTTTTGCTTCACACACTGTGTGCTACCCATGTGACTGCTTTATGAAACACTCAGCAATCCTGCTTTATTTAGTTAAAACTGGGATTATTCACTGCAAGGATTCATTCTGTAAATTGAACAAGGAAGTACTGATTTTGTGTAGTGAAATTCATAATTCTTTACGAAGTAGATTTTTTTATGGCTAACTCCTTACCAATTTTTCTTTTCTTTTCATAGGAAAAATTAACCCAGGAGTGTGTATTCAGAGAGCAGTTTGAAGAAAACTGGTATAACACATATTCATCAAATCTATATAAACACGTGGACACTGGAAGACGATACTACGTTGCGCTAAATAAAGATGGGACTCCAAGAGAAGGGACTAGGACTAAACGGCATCAAAAATTTACACATTTTTTACCTAGACCAGTGGACCCTGAGAAAGTACCTGAACTATATAAGGATATTTTAAGCCAAAGTTGACAAAGACAATTCCTTCACTTGAGCCCTTAAAAAGTAACCACTATAAAGGTTTCATGCGGTGGGTTCTTATTGATTAGCTGTGTCATCACATCAGCTCCACTGTTGCCAAACTTTGTCGCATGCATAATGTATGATGGAGGCTTGGATGGAACATGCTGATTTTGTTCTGCACTTAAAGGTTTGTCCTCCTGGAGGAGAGCCTATGCCCACTCGCTTGATTTAGTACGAGAGGGAGAGCGCGAGAGAGTGAGTGAGAGCGAGAGGAAGCGAGAGCGTGAATGGGGGTGAGAGAGGGGAGCCAGAGGGAGGAGGAGAACGGCCTGATGCATGCTGGGGAATGGACACGCTTTTAAATTTTTGATCAGTTGTACTTCGTCATATATCAGCATAGCTGCCATACTTTGATTCATCGGGATTTTTGGCTGGTGGCCTGCTCAAGTGTACGCTGCATTTACAAAGGCATGGAGGGTGCAGTCTCACGTAGACAAGAGACTTTTCAGTTAATCGCTCGCTGGGTCTCACCCCGCTGAGTTTAAAGCAAAGACCTCTTAGTAAAAACAAATAAAAATAAAAAGTTAAATTTATTTATAGAAATTCCAAAGGCAACATTTTATTTATTTTATATATTTATTTATTATATAGAGTTTATTTTTAATGAAATATGTACAGGCCAGATAGGCATTTTGGAAGCTTTAGGCTCTGTAAGCATTAAAATGGCAAAGGCCACTATGAACCTGTGGTAAATTCATGCAAGTAAATATAAAGGTGCATGGATAAAGAGAATAACAATAAAAAGGTAATAATAATAAATTCTAGTGACCCTCATGTACTAAAGGCGACAATCTCTTTTGTGCCCATATTATTGTAAAAGTATGCATACCACTCATGACACTGAGTACTCACTCTTCTGACTGCTTGTTTCATAGCTTACCCCCAGAGGATTAAAAAGAAAACTGGGTCTCCAACTATTTTTCTGTGTCTGTAATATTTCCTCTCTGGTAAAATGACTTATTACATCATTGTAAAATTCACAGCTGCGGAAAATATAAGGGTTGGAATATATTCTACTTGTTAAAACCTATTGCAGATCATACCAAAGCTAAATGAGAAGTATGCTTTTTTTTTTTTTTCTCTCTCTCCTCTAAAGCAGAATTCCAGAAACAGCATAAGTAATATCAACAGTTGTACTAATTTTAAGATTCCTCAAATAGCACATAAGGGTTTCAGAGGGCAAGAACCAGGCTAACAGGATCAATCTTGTAAATGTGTTTTATTTGTGCACTTAACTATCTACTATGAAATTATACAAGTTCCATAGGGGTCATTGTAACATCTTTTATGGAAAATTGCTTTCAGTGTGAACTGTCATAATACATGATATTAGCACCCTTCTTAAAGTAAAACTTGCAAAATGAAACTAATAAATCTCTATCAATAATGACAATGGGGGGAAAGTATTAGACTTTTTTCTTAAAGTATGTTCAGATATTCATGAACTGTGAAATAACAGTGTGTAATACTTAAGGAACTGTAGCATTGTATGTTAAGCACACAAACACATTGATGAGCTGTTACCATTTGAGAATTAATCTGTAGAAAGAAACATTTTTTTTCCCCAGTACTCTGAAGGTTAAAAAAAAAGAGAGGAAAGTCACATAAGGTCCGCACAACAAATGCATTTTGGGGATGTTGCATCCTTTAGGGTTTGAACCTGGTGCCATTAATGTGAGCACAGCTTTTGCTGTGGGGTCTGGAGGGAGCGTGATAACCCGGCTGCCCTTGGCAGCACTAGAGCTGAGCCAAAACATGCTTTGGCATAGCTGTAACTGTACCCTGCTCACAATTATGTAATCCTGATTTGTTTTTTCTCTGATGCACACCTGTCTGTGCAGTATAAACAGATAGGATTCGAAGCATAAGTCTGCTCTGGAATAGCTCATGGCTTGGTGTGCTTGGTGAGCGGGAGCTCTCTGTGCTCTGTGGGTAGGAGGAGCCATGCCTCAACTAGGAGATACCAGCAACCTTCACTACAAGATGGCATTTTGTTGTAATGTTTTTGAGTGATAAAGACACATGGAAGCAGATTGTTGATTTGTAAGATGCAGTCAGACACATGCACTTGCCTGGGGACTGCTGTTGCTGAGGGGCCAAAGCCCAACCTTCAGCACAGCGGTTGCGGTTGGTTTCCAACCCTTTCAAACCTGCATGTAAATGTGGCTGCAGGTTATCCAGGTGCTGAATGGTTGGGCCAGGAGCACAAAGCCTTGCAAAAGCTCAAACGAGTAAGCGAGCTCCTGGGACGTGCTGGGTTCACCACTTGTCAAACAGACCAATGGTACTCAAGGAAGGACGGCTGTGACTCTATGTTTTGGCAGAAAATCTTGTGTGCCAAGAAGTGAACTGCAAAGTTTAAAAACCTGACGAGTAGAGGCCAGGGTGCTAGGCCATGGACTGAGTCTTAATGTTCAATAGATTTGGATTTTTAGTCATAGACAAATCATTACTACTCGTTAACATGTTCTAATTTTTTTTTTTTTTGTATTTTTCTAAAGAAAGGATTAAAACCAAGAAAAATGTTATGAGTTTATGGCAGTCCATATAAATAAACTGTATCCAATTTACTCTAATAACCCATAATGGTGTGTAAATACTGACTTTCTGTAAATATGGAAACATGTAATTTAACATAGGCGTTACTGTGAGACTGGATGGTCCAGGAGCTCGCAATTTACCACTCCTTGCATGTTGACTGGGCCTAATCCAGCCTGGCTCAAGGACCGAACAACAGATTTTGTTCAGTCACTTGTGCAAAATGAGTTATTTCTGTTTTCTGGCGGGGGTGGACAAAGCCTTAGTCCCCTGGGTGCTGCTTGGCTTCCGTGCCAGGGGCATGGATGCGCTTCAGCTCCTTGCTCCTCCCTGCTTTGGTCCCAATGTAGGGTTGGACGCAGCTGAGCTGACATGGGCACACGTGTGCTGCTGCTGCCCCGCAGCCGTGCACAAACAGAACTCTTCATTTCCTACTGCTGCCGATCTGACACCCCTTTTTAGCATTAAAATTCACTTGAAGAGAAATCTGAGGGGGAAAAAACAGAGCAATTGGTGTTATTTACTTGACATTCTGTAATGGTGTGTAAAATACATACAGAATTCTGTAAATTGTATAAATACATTGCTATAGAATTTTGAAAATTGGTATTATTTGCTTGATGTGCCTTCACAGCATTTTCTTAATAACTGTGCATATCTGTAATAATGAGATTGCAAATAGACATCATCTTTTTATGCCTGGAAAGGATGTGAGAAAATTCCAGGAGAACCAAGAGCAGGATGATTTTCTTTCTTTTTTTCTAAGTCAGAAGAAACAGCAAAAAATGGATAAAGTATTTCACCCCACGTGGATCTGTCAACTACTGGGTGAGCAGCATGGGCAAAAAAGGTGATGGAGATCCAGAGAAGCTTTATGGCACTGACTGGTTTGGGGCTACAAGCACACCATGTCAGGCTTAGCCCCAAGCCCAGTGGGGTGGGGTGAAACCTTGGCAGTGCAGGGAGCAGAATGGGAAAAATCAAAGGAAAATTGTTTTAGACTACTACTGATTTGTGCAGAACTTGAACTGCCTGCTGCCAACTGGAAGGGAAAAAGAAACACCTATCTGAATGACTGGTGTAACATTGGAAGTCTGGAGATGGGACTCTCCAGTCTCTGAAAAAGTCGCTCATAACTACTGTCCTCATGGAAGAAGAGAAACATGTTTAATACACACTGATCCCAGGGAATTGATCAGACTGCTTCCAGAGCAGTCCCAGGTTTCTCTGGAAATGGAAAATGGCAAGAAGTAGGAGAAGATGAACCTGGAGCTTCCATGTCTTCACTACATGTCTCAGAGTCACTGCCATCTGCTGCTTAGTCTATGCTCTGCTCTGCATAATCTTATAGCATCACAGAATTGTTTGAGATGGAAGGGACTCTTAAAGGTCATATAGTACAACTCCCTGCAGTGAACAGGGACACCTACAGCTCAATCAGGTGCTTAGAGCCCCATCCAGCCTGACCTTGAGTGTCTCCGGGGACAGGGCATCTACCATCTCTTTGGGCAACTTGTACCAGTGCCTCACCATCCTTATTGTGAATATTTTTTTCCTTGTATTCAACTACAGTCTCCCCTCTTTTAGACTGAACCCTTTTCCCCTTGTCCTATCACAACAGATGCTACTAAAGAGTCTGTCCCCTTCTTTCTTGCAGCCCCCCTTAAATACTGAAAGGCCATTCTCAGCTTTCCCCAGAGCCTTCTCTTCTCCAGGCTGAACAGCCCCAGCTCTCTCAGTCTCTCTTTTGTATCAAGCAAAGAAGCAAATATAAGCTCCAGCTCTGCTACCCTTGGCTATGGAAGCAGAAATAAATGAGTGGCCACTCATACTGGGTACCTCTTTGTTCAAGCTCCTGTCCCGGCTCATGACATCACACATGATACCTGTGACGCCCATCACAAATTGTCCTTGCTTTGCAAATGTGGAGATCTGTCTCCTTACAATTACAGCTTCTACTGCAGATGTGCGAGGTTCTGTTTTTTTTAGAAATTTGGCTGAAATCTTGGAGATTTGGCTCCTGCTGGTGTAGCTAGATAGGTGCAGGCAGTCATATTTGGAAGCAGGGACCTCAGTGAAGAAGCAGCCAACATCCTCCTCAATATTTTTTCCTCGTGGCACATCATTTACTGATCTACGAACAAAAACCAAAAGACTTCTGTTTTCCAGACTTTTCTCTCTTCTCTTAAGCTCTTGAGCTGTCCATGGGTTGCTCACAGTGCAATCCTGCTCTGCCTTAGCATCAGTTTTCACCTTCAGAGAGCATCAAAAGGGGCTTTACATCTACCTGCTGACTCAGTACCAGGGACATAAACTGAACTCCTGTTGTCAGGAATTGGGAGAGGCCTTCCCAGCACCTTGCAGCTGAACATTTGGCATTATGAAGTGAGCAAGGCATGACTAATTTATGCTTGAAATTTAGGATTTATAAAACTTATCCACCAAGCACAAGAACACCCACGACAATTAGTGATTAAAACAAAGGAGATGCTATCGTGCAAAGTGTCTCAATGGTTCTGTTGTGTGCTTACCTTGAAAATTGAAATAAAAAAATACTTTTTAATGGTCAGGAATTTAGAATGAGAATAATAATCAAGTTTGACCTGTTAAGGAGTTTATAAAACAGTTCTGTTGTCTTTTTTTTTTCCTCCAATGATTATATAACGTTAATAGCTTGTGTACATTTTCCCGTACCTGATTCTATTAGAAAAGATTCTTTAATTTTTCATTCAGTGTTTCTGAAGTCTGGTTTTCTACATATAATTTTTTAGAGCTATTCTGGTCTGTGCCCTGTGGCAGGAAATTCAGTGTGAGATCCTTGGTTAGGACAGATGACTGTGTGCATTACAAAGATGCTGCAGTGATGCTCAGACTGGATGGTGTAGTCTATAGGATGACCTTGTCCTGTGGTAGCTATCAACAGAAGGCCGCAACATTATTGATTGCATAAAGCATTATATCTTGATGTTTTCCTGGGAGAGATCTTTTAAAATAGTCCTCAAGTCACTCAGACTTTATTAAGCCAGTCTCTCAAACAGACACTCACAGCTGTCCTACCACGGAGAGCAGTGTATAAATTACAGTTTAGCTGTATTGCTTAGTGATGCAGGGGGTTTTCATCTCATAGCAAAACAAAACAAAACAAAAAACCCAACCTTATTTATTCATTTATGTATTTTTAGGTCAGAGAAAGTTATTTTTATATGCAATACTCACACGTAGCAACTATGGCACTAAGTCAAAAGAATTCTGCAATTAGACTGAACTGTCAACATATTTCTCCCATTTCTGTTTTCTTGAGAAATCACAGACAATAAAACTATGGTGATATGCAAGCTCTGTCCTGTAGATTTTTCATGTTCAAAGGTCCTGAATATGTATGTATATCTTACTTACTGGAGGCAGTAAGTCTAGGTGAAAGGAGCATTTCTGAAATGCTGTAATACATTTATTTTATTGAAACTGTCTCCCTGAGTGTAGCTTTAAATAAAACTATTATTATTCCTACCTTTTCTGAAAGGGTAGATGTAAACACTGAAACAGTGCCATGAAATATTC